CCAATTCCGGTTCAGCCTCTTCAGCTGACTCGGCATCGCTCTGGTTTTGAATTTCTATAATTATCATCCAGCATGAGTTCTTCGTTACGGCAAGCCAATAGCAGCATGACATCTTCAACGTCAACCTCCAAATCAAGCCGGGAAAGAAGAGTGATCAATTGAGTGTTGTTTGAATACGTGATCAATTTCAGGAGCTGTGATAAAGTTTTGACTAAATAAGAACGGCCAACGCTTTTTCCATACCCCGTTCCAGATTCTTTCGCAAACTTTAATCCAAGAGTCTGCCGTGATCCGTACTGCATCCAGTGATCATTAAAAGAGGCATTTCTCACAGTCAGCTCATTGTTTTGTTTCATAACAGGATGAAATTTTTCTGAGGATTGTCGTGTAATGCATGCCATATATGTTTAATCACACCCTGGTCTATTGGTTGAAACAAGCTTGTTGTATTTGGAGCAAAACACCACTTTGACTCGAGGATTAAGGTTCATCAGAGTTGCTAGAGGGTGCCCTGGAGCATTATAGAGAATTAGCATTACTTTGAAGGGAAGGTTTTGAGAGTAGCAGTAGCGCTTAGCCTCGGAGATAAAATCGTGGCCAAACCAGTCTTCAAAAGACAGGAGCAGTGATTCAGCGTTGGATTTTCGTATCACTAAGACCAGCTTTGGACATATGTTTCAAAGCTTTAGGATTATTTGACCGATAGATCAGAAGTGGCTTCATTTTGCAATCACCAGCAGCATTTTAACCAGGCATAAGAGTGAGCCGATCTTGACCGCCATAAGCCCAGGAAATTTTTTCCTCACGAGCTAGGAACGTTCCTTAACACATCTTTTTCCAGAACAGCCCGTCTCGTCAATATTAAAAATGGTCTTGGAGTAGTACTTTTCATCTCCCATCATCTTCAGTTTTTCGGGGAAAGAAAAAGCAGGTTCTTCATTGGCATTCGCTCCTTCCCCAATGCCTGCAATGCCGTGCCAATCAGGGCGTTGTTTAAATCTGCTGAACCAGCCATTGCTTGCTACAAAACTTTCATCCTTCTCGGCATTTTCAGATCCCTCCTTCAGCAGGTGCATGTGGTGTTTTGATCTACAGGTCAACTTTT